AAAATACAACCTCCGAGGTTGCATTATATAAGCCAATATACATGGGTTTTGGTGAACTATAACTAGCAGGTCGATATTACAACCTGAAAAATAGTACCATACGAAAAAAAAAAAAAAAAAAGTAAATAACCAAGGCATTATTGGACTCCATGTACTATTTTTCCTAATCCCACCCCCTTATACCACAATTATTGACGAGCCCAAATCTAACTGAGTCAGGCCCAATGAACTAAGGAAGCCCAAGTCAGCTAAAAGGTAGCCCAAGCCCACTTTATCAATCTGACCCAATCCAAGATCTAAGGAACCTGGGAAGATAAGAACACGTAGGAGAGAGAGTAATAGGATACGCACTCATAGAAATTCAATCCTATCTTAATTGTACTTACCAAAAGAGTAGAGCACTCTCTCTCACGTCATCGCCTCATCATACCTATATAATGTAAGCCCTCTCCACATAGAGGGCATCACCCTGAGACCTCAAGACACCTCTACTTATTTTCCTCTCTATGCCTCCCTAGTTTCTCTCTCCTAAAGCATTGTAATACTCCCGGAGTATACTTTCCCAGTGAATTTATTCATCAATAAACACCCACGGCCACCGCTGTAGTTTTTTCGAAAGTGGAGTAGATCACCCGGACCGAAGCACTATATATTTGTGTGTTTGCTCTTATGTAATGTTTTGCCATTGATTATCTAATTTATTGCTTATTAATTGCGCCCTTACATATACTCGACTATTGATATTGCACAATACCAATTTGTGCATAATCACTTTGGCGCCGTTTGTGGGAACAACTAGTTTTCCTACTCTCTTTCAATCTATGGCAATCACAACCATATCAATGAGTCAACAACGTGGAGACAACAACCCAGCCCACCGGGGGGACGCTCTGCCTCCTCTTGCACCCTCATAACCATCTGCTACTACTCTTACAAATTATGCAGCTGCCGATAAACCAAAACCAGCAGATCATTCAGTTGATGCTCGCCCAGGGAGGCATCGCCCCTCACCCCCTAGGAACAGTTCCACTCCCTCCAACAAGAGAGGAGCAACAACCCATCCCTTCTAGGTGCCAGGCAGCCCATCACTATGGGCCCCTCGCTAGAACGCCCCAGGGCCATGCTAGGGCTCCCTCACCCAGTAATTCCTCCTCAGCACATAGGGAGCTCACGTGTTCCCCCTTCACACCTACCTGCGCAAAAGAACAAAGGAGAGAGCCAATATGGTGATTATGGAAGCCAGTACAACCAACTAACAGAGGATGTCCCCAACCAATGGGATGAAAAGATCAGAGTGGTGAAAAAACAATTCGGTGATGCCCTTAACACCATCAAGGCACAAGCGCCCGAGACGGTGGATTACCTGGTAAGACGTACTGATACACCTTTTGTTGTGCACATAGCCAGTTATCCCTTACCCTCGAAGTTCAAGATGTCTACCATCGAGATCTTCAACGGTACCAAAGACTCCCTTGGCCATCTTGACACATTCAAATCCCTCATGCAACTCCACAACATGCCTGAGGAGATTATGTGTAGAGTCTTCCCTACCACCTTGAAGGGGTCTGTTCGCCAATGGTTCGCAAAGATTAAACCCTCCTCCATCCACTCTTTCGTGGAACTGAGTAAAGCTTTCGTCTCCCACTTCATTAGAGGACGCCAACATTAGAAACCTGTGACCCACCTACTCATCATCAAGCAGAACAGGGATGAAAGCCTCAGAGATTACTTCGCCCATTTCAACGAGGAAGCTCTCCAGATTGGGGAGCCAGATGATAAGGTAGCCCTGGCTGCCTTTTTTGTTGGTCTTCGCTCCTCCAGTTTTATATTATCCATCCTCAAGAAGTCGCCCTCTAGCATTCTCGAGCTACTGTCTAAGCTACAGAAATACATGAACACATAAGATGTCACCAAAGCCTGTAAAGGTGAGTCCTCTCGAGGAGGAGACAAAAGGAAGGACACCCACGAAGACAGGAGAGAGGCAGAGAACAAAAGGAATAGGACAGAGAAAATCTCTGTCAAAGACTGCCTTAGTCCCCCACCTCTAAGAGAGCGACAAGCCTTCACGCCACTCAATGCTTCCATATAGCATATCTTGTTCCGAATACAAAATGATCTTATAGTACGTTGGCCAAAGAAGATGAAGACTTTCTCGAACCGTAGGAGCCTGAACAAGTACTATCGTTTCCACCGTGACCACGACCATGACATTGACGACTACTTTGATCTCAAAAGGTAGATCAAGGAGCTCATACAGTGTGGCCACTTGATATAGTACGTTGTAGGCAGAGGACAAGCCCTGGCACCTGATCCGGACCAGGATGACAGAGAATGCCAACAACCCCTCGGAGAAATCCAAACAATCTCCTGAGGGCCAGGAGGAGGAGGTGACTTGAACTCTGCCAGGAAAGTCTTGTCCCACCTATAGGACACCAAACACCTGAAGATTTTATCTATCCTTTGTTGCTTCAGTTGATTTATTTTGTTATTTATTATTTTACGAAATAAAATTCTACGAAGATTATTGTGTCCGAATTGTCTTGCTTTCCTAAAATTTACAAACAACTTACAAAAGTCAGAACATGACCTAACAACAAGATAGACAAAAAGACAACAGTCATCTTACTCCCGACGATCATTCACTACTCCCCGAGCCACAACCATTATCATCAAGGCTCTCCCCGTCACCAACTATTATTGGTACCTCATAGGGGACGAAGTCAGAGAAATCAACAGTGGCCCTCTCAGCAGGCGCCCAGCACCGAGAGCCCAGCCTCGGGCGCCTAGCACCTCAAGCGCCAAGCTCATCTGCACCCTCCTCGTCTCCATCTCAATGGAATGAGCCTCTGCCAGGCCAGCCCTCTCCCGAGCTATACGTAGCTTGGTCTCAACTCCTACAGCCCTCTCACAGGATGTTTGCGGCTATGACTCTACTCTCACGCAGGTAGTCTCCTTACAAGCCTCTGTCACGACAGCCAACTCCTGAGACTATACATAGCTCGACCTTAGCTCCTACGACCCTCTCATGGGACGTTTGTAGCTATAACTCTGCTCTTGCGCAGGTAGTCTCCTTACAAGGCTCTGCTACGGCGGCCATCTCTTAAGATTATGCATAGCTCGGCCTCGGCTCCTACGGCTATTTCACGGGATGTTTGCAGCTATGACTCTACTCTTGCACAGGTAGTCTCATTACAAGCCTTTGCTACGATAGCCATCTTCCGAGACTATACGTAGCTCGACCTCAACTTTTATGGCCCTCTCATAGGATGTTTTTAGCTATGACTCTGCTCTCGCCCAGGTAGTCTCATTACAAGCCTCTGCTATGACAGCCATCTTCCGAGACTATACGTAGCTCGGCCTCTAACTTTGCGGCCCTCTCACGGGACGTTCACAGCCCTGACTCCACTCTCACGTGGACAGTCTCGTTATCAGCCTCCAACTCCCCAACCCTCTCATAGGATGCCAACAAGCTCGATCTCAAGAGGCACAACTCTCTCATGAGCAAGCCTCAACTGCTCCCTAGCAGTCACTTGAAATCGGCCTCTCTTTCGCCAGATCCCTAGATACCTCTCGAAGTTTAATCATTCTTGAAAAGCGACAAGGAGAAAAGCAACAGTCATGTACAAGAATTCAAAAAGTAGAACATGAATGAGTACAAAATCAAAGTTAAGAAGAAAGGCAGGCGTACCATGGAGGACTCCCTCATCCCCGAGACTCACAGACATCCAAAGTTACTCCTTGATCGAAGTGAAGTCAAAGCAAGCACACCGAGCCACTACTAGAAGCAGAACAACTATGTGGAGCTATAGTCTCCATTGAAGACCGCACTAGAGTCTCAACTCTTACAGTGATACAAGGGCTAGCTCTAGTACACACAAAAGTCCCAGTCGGGGAAGGAGTGGGGTCACCATCGGATCTTGCTCCCAGGAAGCAACCTAATCATCAGACCTTGGTTAAAAAGCACCAGGGGCATCAAACATCGCCCTTTTGAGAAGAGTGGAAGACGCTGCCCTAGAAGCATGGAGAACATCCACCTCCATCATTGCTTTATCAATGGGAGTGCCTGTAATCAGAGACAAGGTCAAGAACTAGCACAGCCGAAATCCATCATAGTCTCCCTCTCTGGCAAAAATCTAAAACGCCAACCCATCATCCATGAATGCCTGATAGCTGCCTGCCAGAACGCAGCCTCTCACCATCTTCGATTTCACTAATTTGTTCTTAAAACTCAAATTCAGAGAGATAGAAGTATTTTTTGGAAAAATTTGGTGACCAAACCGCCTTTGGCAATTTTTATGTCGTAGATCTCAAAAAAATAACTAGATTAAAAAAAATTGCCTCAAACAGACAACCGTGCGCAAAGTTTTGGTCATTCAAAGATTTATCAATTTTTTATGATATTTTGATACTCCAGCCAGCGACCAGCGCCCGTTGCCCATGCTAGCCAGTGCCTAGCCAGTCCATTAGCTAATTCTGCTCAGCATAGGGGAGGTCAGCAGTGGTGTCATCCAAGAGAAGGCCAACAACGTCGCCTAAGGGGAGACCAGCACTCGTGTTGCCCAAGGGAGGCCAACACCCAAGGGGGGCTAGCACTAGCGTCGCCCAAAGGGGCCTAGCACTGGTATCGCCCAAGGGGGGCCAGTGCCCAAGAGGAGGCCAACACTAGTGTCGCCCAAGGAGAGGCCACAACTGGAGTCGGCCAAAGGGAGGCCACCATTGCCTATTTTCTTCATGCATGGCATAGAATGATTTTATTGGGTTGAATAATTTATAGTTGTTGGTATTCTTTTGTATTATAGGTGATGATGGAGCTGATGGAACTGGTTTTTATAGAATAGACTCGGTCAATAATGGTATTGTCCTAGAGTGGACTCTGTCACTAGAACCTGTTAGAAAGCTTCCCACAAATGTGGGGGCCAAAATTAGGAAGTGTATCTATGATGCTTTGGATAAAGGACCACCAGAATGGAAAGAAAATATATTGAAGCAAAGAAGTTTACAAGGGCAATGTATTTGGGCCCGTAAAGAGCACCCCATTTCCTTCTCTTGGCGCCGCCATCAGTGAAGGTCGCCTAGTCTCCAAAGATGCTCTAGCCTCGATCACAATAATGATGTCACCATGGGCATGGGTGCCTTCATACCTCACTTTCAAGGAGTTCATGGGGTCACCTATAGAATCTCCCATGGATCTACCCAGCAGGAATGGAAAGTTGAAGACTACCGTGGGTAACGAGGAATTCTTATCTATCCAGTAGCTCACTTATGCCCTCAAACTCTTCTACACAGAAAGAATTTGGGGCATAAGTTGGGCCCCAAGGGGTTACCCCCACAGAGAGAGATTGAGTTTAAGATTGATCTCTATCCGGGAATCGAACACATATTCATTGCTCCTTATCGAATGACACCTTTGGAGTTAAAGGAGCTAAGGAAGCAGAGTTACCATCTCTTGCTCATTGGATTTATCCGTTTGAGCACTTCACCTTGGGGAGCCCCGGTCCTCTTTATGAAGAAGCATGACAAAATACTTCGGTTATTCACAGACTACCGAAGGTTGAACCGAGTGAAAGTGAAGAATAAATATCCATTGCCACGAATTGATGATTTATTTGATCAGCTGAGGGATTCTAAGTATTAATCCAAGATTGATCTTCACACAGGGTACCATCAACTGCGGATTAGGGAGGAGGATATTTCTAAGACAGCATTTTGTATCCGGTATGGTCATTTCGAATATGTGGTAATGCCGTTCAGATTGACTAATGCTCCAGCAGCCTTCATGGATTTGATGTACAGGGTATTTCATCCGTATCTAGACCAGTTTTTCATTATGTTTATTGATGACATGTTAATCTATTCACAAACACAAAAGGAACATGCACGCCATCTCTCGATTGTGCTACAGACATTGAGAGAACATAAATTATATGCCAAGATGAGTAAATGCGAGTTCTGGATAAAGGAAGTGAAATTCCTAGGCCATGTGGTGTTGGAACAAGGTGTAGTTGTTGACCCCGCAAAGATTGAAGCCGTGATGAAATGGGAACCACCGAGGAATGTGACTGAAATACGTAGTTTCTTGGGCTTAGCGGGCTACTATCAGTGGTTTGTGGAAGAGTTCTTAAAGATAGCAATGCCAATGACTTGCCTTATAAAGAAAGGGGAAAAATTCTTGTGGACTCAAGTGTGTGAACAAGTCTTTCGCACCTTGAAGGAGAAGTTGACAATAGCTCTTGTCCTCATTATTCTGAGCAGTGGGGAGGGATATGATGTGTATACCGATGCTTCATTATGAGGCTTGGGATGTGTGCTCATGTAGGGAGGTAAGGTAGTTGGTTATGGCTCGAGACAACTAAAGATCCATAAGCAGAATTATCTCACTCACGACTTAGAGCTTGCCGCTATGATTTTTGCTCTTTAAGTTATGGAGGTGTTACCTGTATAGAGAAAGGTTTCAAGTGTTTTTAGATCATAAGAGTCTCAAGTACATCTTCACACAGAAAGACTTGAATCTTTGGCAAAAGAAGGTGGATTGAATATCTAGAAGACTACGATTTCATACTCAACTAACATCTGGGGAATGTAGTAGCAAATGCACTTAGTCGAAAGTCTCAGGGCGAAATCAATGTTCTTACTGTTAATAGGTGGAAGATGATTGATGCCTTGAAGGAATTTTATCTATGGGTGGATAGATAGGGGGATCGATCATGCGTATTTAATCTTGTAGGTCAACCAATTCTTCGACAAAGGATTGTGGAGTTACAATGATTAGACACCGAGTTGGGAGCAATCTGGGGTAGATTGGAGAGGAATGAGATTGTTGAGAATTGGTCAATACGGAATGATGAGTTACAGTTTCGTGGAAGACTATATGTACCAAATAATGACCAAGGGAATAAGTGTTGGGTGAGTATCATCGTTCAAAATTCTCCATACATCTGGGGAGTACCAAGATGTATAGGGACATGAGGCATCAATATTGGTGGAAAGGGATGAAACAAGACATGGCTAAGTATGTTTCAAAGTGCGTGGTGTGTCAGCAGGTGAAGATTGAGCATCAAAAATCCGAAGAATTATTAAAGTTCTTGCCTATTCTAGAATGGAAGTGGGATCACATCACCATGAACTTCGTGTTGGGTTTTCCACGAACTTCACGCGGTTATAATGTCGTATGGGTTATTGTAGATAGACTTACCAAGTCGGATCATTTCTTGAGTATGAAGACCACGGATACTTTGGAGACCTTGAGCAAGCTCTATATTTGCGAGATTGTTAGATTACATGGAGTTTCACTCTCTATTATTTCGGATCGTGATTCTCATTTCGTAGCACAATTTTGGCAAATTCTACAACGAGCTATGGGGATAGAGTTACACTTTAGCACCGCATTTCATCCCCAAACGAATGGTCAATCCGAGAGGTAATATAGATTTTGGAGGATATGTTACTAGCTTGCGTGTTGGACTTCAAGGGAAGTTGGAGTGATCATTTTTCGTTGGTGGAATTTGCATATAACAATAGCTATCAGGCAAGTATTGGAATGACTCCTTATGAAACATTATATAGGAGACCATGTAGGTCCCCGACTTGTTGGCTAGAAGCTAGAAAGAGTAGTTTGTTTGGGCCAGAAATTGTTCGGGAGACTACGGAGAAAATTCAACTCATTCGGGAAAAACTACGCACGGCACAAAGTACACAGAAAAGTTATGCGGATAGAAGACGAAGATCATTGGAATTCCAAGAGGGGGCCTATGTGTTCCTCAAGGTGTCAACCAAGAAGGGAGTGTTTAGATTTGGCAAGAAGGGGAAATTAGCACCAAGATACACCGGACCATTTGAAGTGATCAAAATTGTGGACAAAGTGGTGTATCAACTTTGGTTACCAACTCAATTGTCAGGGGTATATGACGTGTTTCATGTGTCAATGTTAAGAAAGTGTCAATCGAATACAACGTATGTCGTGAATTTGGAGGATATTGAGATTCAAGATGAGGCAACACATGAAGAACAATCGGTGAAGATTCTCGATACCAAGGAGAAAGTGTTTCACAATAAAGTCATTCAACTGGTGAAAGTCATGTGGTAACATCACGGGGTGGAGGAAGCTACCTAGGAGCCGGAGCTAGAGATGCGAGAGAAGTATCCTCATTTTTTCTCTACTTAAGGTAAGTTTCGATGAAGAAACTTTCTTTAAAGGGGGTGGATTGTAAACCCCCACGTTCCATTTATTTTGATATAACAACGTGATTATTTCTGAAAATGCTAATATATGTAATGATGTATGCATGCACTATGTATAGTGTATGAGTATAAATAAAATGTTAGTTAAAGTAATAGAGTATGTTGTCAAAGTGTGGAAGTATTCCGGAGTGAAAACACATTTTTAGACAAAATTGGGTAGGAATGATTTTAGACACGCTCTAGTATTTGGATCATAACGTTTTATCCTTATTTTCATTGGATTTGAAATTTTGAGAGTAGATTGTAGACTTCTAGGGCTACAAAAGTGTATTTCATAAACATTTTCCAAATTGACCTCTAAATAGGTCAATACTTCACTGGAAGTTACAGCAGAAACTGGGAGGACGTTCGAACGTGAATAGACGTTCGAACGGCAGTGAGTCCAGTGCTTTGATCTCTGTAGATCTCTGATGGAAATGCAAAAGTACTGGGAGCAACCAGCGTGCGAAATCCAAAGTGACGTTCGAAGGTGAATCACTAATTTGCACTATGGGCGTTCGAACGCCAAATGACGTTCGAACGTGACTTACGAATTCTGGCTTTCAGAATCGCGCACAGGAGGTCATTTATCACCCTAGAAATACTTAAAGACACCCTCTTTAGCCCCATTTCAACATATATAACCCTAGAAAGGCTTAGAGAGGAAGAAATAAAGGGAGAAACAAAAGATCAAGGGGGAGTTGCACATTGAAGAGGATCACAACTACTAGGTTTTCCAACAACACCAAGGAAGAAGAAGGTAGGGGTTTCTTCCTGTTCTCTTACATTGAGGCTAAGGTTTACTTATATGTATTCTTTTGACTCTAAATCTTATTTATTTGTTAGTAAATCCTTGATTCTTGATCTTCTTGCAAACATTACTATGTTTAAACAAATCTATGGTGGGATAACCATTAAATCTCTTTTTTCTTGACTCAAAACCCTAGTTTTCAAGAGAAATGGACTTTTCTCTTGATTTTTCATTTGTTCTTGATTTCAAAACTCTAGTGTTTGATATTGAACAATAAAATGATATTTATGATGATCTTTTGCATATTTTCTTAAATGGCTCTATTTGTAATATTATATGTGAGATTTGAGGATTTTGGATTGGCTTGTGATTTGAAGAAATTGGTTGGTTATTGTATCTCTTGTGGGTGTTTGGATGACCATGGGTGGCCGTTGACTGGGTATCGTAAAGTGGGTAGATGTGTTTCTTACTCCGTATGAGTTTGTATTTTTCCTACCCTCGTAATGGGGTTGGTGCCTTGTAAGGACTAAACCACTATTTGCTCATGGGTACCGAGACTGAGGATTAGTATACTATTCTTGGATTGGATTCGTCACTGCCATTGTGTTGGTATACGCCATTCCTAAAAGTTGGATATCCTTGCGAGGATTGGGTGTGTAAGTGTGGGTCAGGATATTCTCGATGTGTTTATTCATACGATATCTTACATCATACCTGAGATACATTGTGGATGATTGCTTACTGTGCAAGTGGTTGGTTATGGCTTATTGTTGGAATTGTTATTTATGAAAGAAGTGGTTTATTGTGAAAATGGTTGTGGTGGAATTGGTAACTTGATGGTATTCTTATCGTTGGGAATTGGTTTTACTCTTTCATTTAATTATTGTTATTGTATAAACTTGAGATCGACTTGCCCCTGTTTTCTCTCAAAAGCTATGTCTATGATATTCATAAAATAAGACCGACTGTTTTATATGTTTTCTAAACCTTGTTCGAGTTTGATATAATTTTTCTACAGAGCTTTGTGCTCACCCCCTGCAAACAACATATTTTCAGATTATGTGCTAGAGGAATAGCTCGGTGTAGATGAGCAGGCACATTGGGAAGCTCTAATAGATGAGAACGTGGATCCCGAGATGGATGTTTAGAATTATATTCTCTTTTTCTCTAGATTAGGGAAATTAATTTTGAGACAATGTGAAGTCTAATATATTGTT